TGACCTTTTTTTAATTAAAAAAAACACCTGAACAGATCCAAAATTTATTCTTTCTGCCATAATCAAACACTTTGCATGTCTTATACAAGCATAAAATCTGAGGTAAAGAAAATTAAATTCATGTATTCTGAATGAGGGAATCTCAATTTATACCATTTTTTCCCCCAGATTATGCAAAAATCAAAGAACAGGGCCATTCATGTGTATATTTTTAATGATGGGTCTCAGAATGACGAAGAAATTGAAGTGTTGGATCAGTCAACAGTTCAAACATTTAAGCACAGTGGTTTGTAAATTCATTGCTGTGGTAACTCCACTGAGAAACTAGTTTATATCAGAAACAAATTTATTGCAGTAACTGATTCACTTCCCAGTACCACCTGTATCTATCTCTCTGTGTTGTGTTTTTTTTTTTAATAAGAACTCTTAATCTCTACTGTTCACTAATAAAAATATTTTAATAAGAGATAATACTATAATCCAAATGCCTATAGGTGCTTGAATCAACTATCTCTGCCTATATAATTGCTAACACTTTGTTCAACCCTTTTTAAAATTGCTATTAAATCTCATTCTCATTTTCTGTATTAATAGAACAAGAATTCATTTTTAGTGTACCCTCAAAGCAGTAATGAGCATTGTTAACATGTAACAACAGTGTCCAAGGGGAAGGTTTTCAAAGCTGGTCTAACCTTAAGGCTTTGCTATTGATGTACTACAGAGTCATCAAGCCACGAGCTGTTAGAGCTAGTCCATTTGGAGAGTTCAGCTGAATATTTCTGCTTAATATATTGGATGAATTATAAATGGTTTAGGTGGTGACCTAGGGAGAAGGGGGAATTTTTGTTTAATAGCTTAAGAACAGAGAAGCAACCTTGTAAAAATAAGTATAACTCCTGTGCATTTTAAAGTGTATCATATTATTCTTTTGTTCTGATTTTGCTTCCATACAGATTTTTGTAAGAGGTTAATGAGAAAACATTAACGAGACATGCAATATTGCATGGGCAGGGAAGCTGAAGCATAGTTATTTACTTATAAACAAACAATAGTTGTTACTTTTTAATTGCTTTTTCAGAAGCCCAGTTCTGCCTTCTTGAAGAAGTATTGTCTATCTTATTAAATACAGACTATTATCCTTATTGCATTTATTATGTATAGCGAAAATAAACTTGTCTAAAGCAGTAGTGCTTCTCTGATTTTCACTGAATGTCTTGGTCACAATAAACAAGTCAAAACCCTATAGACTGGAAGTCCTGTATGAGTAGTACTGCAGCAAAATGACCTCCTTCAGTGACAGAATTTGAGATTGAGCCTTTAGGTTAGCTGAAGGTAGCAGAAGTGGCCTCAGGAGTCTCTGTTTGGGGTACAAATTAAGAGGCTCAAGAACAGTGTGTTACAGCAGTCATATGGAATAACATAATTTTCCTTGCACTCTTTGAGGTCTTGGTTTCATTACTGTGAAAAGTATAAGGGTGCATTTTAGATGACTGTTGGATATTTCAACAGAGACCAATTCATCCACTGTTTCAAAATCTGAAACTCTGTTGGGGAAGCAAGGGTAGAAATGTTCTTTTGTTTGAGTTCAGTTTGTCTCTGAAATGTGTGCATAAATTGTTGTCATTTGTCCATTTTGATTCACAGCACTTGGTCACACCATTGCCCTTTCCTTGGATATAGGGTAAAGTTCATCATGTCCTAAAACAACTAAATATGAACAGACAAGTTCAATAATGTCAAAACTCAAAAATACTGACAGTCTAAGAAATGTGATGTGTGTTGTATATTTCTGTCCATTTCTTTTTTAAAATGGGGAGGAGGGGAATATAGGAGCAATCTTAGTGGTTAAATAGGGTTCAGACCCTTGAAATTTCTTAAGTTACATGTTTTTCACTTTAGAGCTGGGCCCAATGTTGCTTTTCAGTAGAATAGTTGGTTTGTGTTGCAGGAAGGGACCTTTCAAGAGGCTACTCTAACAAGGGACCTCTTATAAGATTTTATTTAATGTTTGTTTTTAATTCTCAAAATGAATTAAATAGAGGTGAGATGTTGAATCTGATGCAGGAGGACGTAAGTTTGTGCAAAGCATGAATGAAGGCTTTATAGGTTTTCTTCCACCCTTCCTTCCAGATTACTCCACACTATACTGTGTGCTTCACTCTCTTAAGGTGTATCTGTCCCTGAACTGAGAAAAAGGCATACATTTGAAATCCCATATATTTCATTTATAACCTAAAAATATGGCTTTCTCCTGGGCTGTTGCATAGGGAAATTCATTCCCCATGCTTGTTTAGTCATCATCTGCTTTTCATGTATTGTCAAAAATGTGGTTGATGGCGATACTGGAAGGAGGAACCGTGGCTTACAACAGATTTCTCAGTGACCACTGAACAGGTCGAAGATGGTACAGATTCTTGGTCACCATGTTGTGCATGTATTTCATATAGTTTAGTTCTTGTGATTCGCTCTTGCACCTCAACAGAAGGTTGAGGGCTGTTTGAGGTGGAAATTTTCTACTCTTTCCAGGGTCAGGATTCTGTTTGAAAAGTCTTTCCCAAAGGCTCACAAAATTTCCAGGAGGTTCAGTCCTCAACAGACCCATCCCTGTGTGGCCTGTCAATGTTCTCCAGTTGGTTCAGGACTGCTAAGTTTCCATACTGACTTTGTTATTTTTACCTTTACTTGTGAGCTAGACATATTCTCTGATATCTAATCTATAGATTAGCAGCAAGCTTGAACCTTTCCTGTTCAATGGCCATTTGACTTTCTTTTTGTCTTTTTCTCATAGTTGCCTCAATTTGTTTTGTCATTTTTTTCAATAGGGAACAAAAGGAAAAGGAAAAGCTTTCCCTGGATCTGCTCTGTCATCACCAGAGTCCGATTATGTTTGAGCTGTTCCCTAGCCATGTGTCCTATTTCTTAAACAATTGTTACCCTTCTGATGTATTAATTCATACATAAAGCTGGCTTGGTTTTCCTTGAACTGCCTGCTACAATTCTCTGTTTCACACAGATCCTTGTTCCTTTCTCCCTGCTGGATTTAGTCTTCTCTTGTAAAAAGGAATGGATATGAACTTCAACCGATAAATGCATACATTTGAATCTGTGACTGATTTGTGTCTGGATTGTTTTTGATGACTTTTATCTGTAGTTGATTTGCATCTATTTGGCTCAGACTCGCTGGGGGTAACACATAGAATAAAAGAATAAATAAATTTGAGGAAGAGGCAAGGAGAGAACAGATGAATGAATGGATGACAGAGAAAGAGAGGGAGACTAAACAGAAAGGGGTGGATAAATGGTGATTAAGAAGTACCAAAAAATAAGGAACAAGCAGTGATCAAAGTAGAGAACAGAAATAAGAAGGATTCAAACCTGAAAAGAACAGAAAGTCTGAAAAGAATAGAGTGAAAAAGAAATAACTAGGAACCTGGTGCCTGATTACACCTAAAAGAGCAGAAGTGTGTTAATTATGTGAAAGGGCTAGGATTGTGCGCCAGTGAAGGGAAGAATACAGGGAACCACGGAACAATGTCCAGAGTTGTCTGAGACTCAGAGCAGTAAATCTTACCCATTCGATCAAGTTAAGTGTTTGCTACAGGGCTTATGTACTCTGAACTCACATTAGCAGTGGCTCTCTACCTTTTGCACAGCTCCATGTGGAATGCTCCTGTAATGAATCCTCATTTTCCTCTTTCAGACTTGCTGGTTTGGGTTAGAATTTCTTCGTGCCCTTCAGTCTGACCTTTGTTCTTTTATCAACATGTACGATTAACTAAAAACAGCAGCAAAACAACTAAGCACCACTAACAAGACTTTCTTAGACTAGTCATATTGAAGCCCCCTTGTTTTTTTCACATCCACTTCCATGTTCCTGCATGTTATCCCATGTCACGTTGCATCTCAGAAGCTCGGTTAACATCTGCAGTCAGAGAGCACCATCGTTCAGTGTTACACATTACACATGTACTGCATGGCACAAATAATACGTAGCATGAGTCTTTGAAACGGATACTGTGACCAAGGAGGGAAAGCTTTTGTTGCATTACCTGCTCTCTTCGGAATCTGGCATCTATTTGGCTCCACCTGAATTCCTCTCTATTCACAAAGCAGCAACAATTGCTGCTTCTCCTGCCCACCATGGGTTTTTTGGAGGTCAGGGGAGCTTCCAGGCACTGCCAGTTTGCCTGTTTTCTCTCTGCTTTTGACCTCTGTCCATTAAACTCTTACTGCAGGGCTTAACTTTAAACAGATGACTGTGATTATAAGTATTCACATGCTAATAATCAAATATGTGTTTAAAGTGCCTTGCTGTTTTTGTTTTGAAGAGAACAACATTCCCACTATGTATCTGCTTTGCATCTATCATAGAAAGGGTTCTTAGTCTTGGTTCGATCTTTTAGGTGCTAATGGACAGTACATTACCATCGATATATGTATAGTTATATCGACTGTAGCCGTTCCCCAGGATCCAACTGAGAGTGGACTCTCACAGCAAGTGCTAAACAAGGTTTTGACATTCCCTGTCTCAAACACCTTACAGCCTACGCAAACAAGACAAACATAACAAGTAAGATAAAAAAAAACATGAAATGGTAGCACAGAGACCATTGTATCGAACATCATGTGAATTTCACAGGGGTCAATGCTTATTATTGGTGGAGATCCTGTTATGCCCAAGTCATCTCAGGAAAAGAAAGACTGCCCAGTGGCTCAGGCAAACCATGAAGATTAGTTTTTATTCCTTGTTTTGAATCCCTGGACACACAGGGAAGCTAGAACTTTTCTCATGGTGACATCTGTCATTCGTCCCCTGAGGAATGAGTCATAAAAGTTGAGATAACAGTTCTTGTCTTGAAGTATACCAGTGTGCTAAATAGAAAATACCCATCAGAAAGAAAATATATCATCTGCAGTAGGAGAAGTTTTGGGAAAACTATTTATTAATGATGTCTCTCCTCTCTCCCCTGCTCCCCCCCTTTTTTTGTTTGTTTTTACAGCAGTTGTATGCTGCCCAACTTGCTGCAATGCAAGTGTCTCCGGGAGGCAAGATACCTGGAATACCCCAGGGTAACCTTGGTGCTGCTGTATCCCCTACCAGCATCCACACAGACAAGAGCACAAACAGCCCTCCACCCAAAAGCAAGGTACTGTACCAGGCCCTGCAGCATTGCATTTCTGACAATGTGGGTACTTGCATGTGGTTTTTTGGTTTTTTTTTTTTTTTTTTTTCTGAAGGGTATCTGTGTGCCTCTCAGTTGCAGGCAACTTTGTTCTCAGGATGGCTTCTTAAAATAAGAGAATATTCATAATGCCATTTTTCCAGTGGGAGGACTCCAGCATAGTTATACCAAACAACCATTCATACACAGCATCAGTAACAGACACCACCTCAACTGAGATCCTGTGGGTTCCTTTGCAGTGTCCTAGCTATCACACTGCTATTTCTTTCATTGTCAATAATGGGTAGCAGGCTGACTTGACCAGCTTCTATTCCAGCACACAGCTGTCATTTCCTTTCAGAATGCTAAACCGGAGTCAGGTTAGCAGTGTGTCGAGAGATGGAAAGTGGTGGGGCATCTCATCCATGGCCAGATTCTGTCCTGGGGTTCAGTGGGAGTTTGTGGAGGAGCAAGCCTCCAAAGCGATGTCTGTTCTGTTGTAGAACAGGGCTGGAACCTGTCCATCAAGCAGTGGGCTCTGATGAGCAGTCTTGGTCATATCTGGGCAATTAGGGCCATATTCATTTAGGAGGTCAAGCTAGGAGCTTGTAATCACATCTATATAATGCCACCAGTGTGTGACTAGTTATACCTAGAAAAAAGACACAGAATATGTCCAGTGGAAGAAGAAGAGTTCAGTGTATACCACAGCTGAGCAAAAGTAATGGGTCGAAATTGAATGGCACATCTTAGGTGTTGCAAAACAATCAGGAAGAATTTAGCTAAGAAATGTGGGGAAAAGGCAGTCCCAAGCAAGAGCTTGATAAAAATGTGTACTTTCTTTTTGTTACTGTCCTCTAGCATGCTGTCCATGTCCTTTATCATGTCAGAAGAGATTCCTTGAATTGACAGTAGTGTCTTGTTTTTACCCTAACAGTAAAGCAGCACGGATTAAAAATAACCAGACAAATCAACAATACCATTGTCAGCTCAGTGAGATACATGTTCAAAGAATAAAATAGATGGTGTGGAACCAGTGGCTGTTGTGTTAATGAATCAAGCTCTGGGTCTACATTTTCTTTCTTCTTTCCTCAGTGCAGACTTCCTGGCTTCCCGAAGTTTGTCCTTGGCTTGGCCTCTTCTTTTGTATGTTACAGAGTGAGGAATCCCAAAGCCATGCAGTTCTTGAGGGTAGCGGGTTTTTCTTTTTTTCCAAAAAGTCATGTCTATGATTAACAAGAGATTTTTGTGAATTTTACAAGGGGTTTTTGTGTGTGGCTAACAGCTTGCTAGACACACTACACTTAAAATCCTGGTGTTGTTTTTGGATCTCTTGTGCATAAGCAGAATGTCTGATGAGATCTAAGGGGACACAGTATTTATTTAGTGGCAATTGTGAAATTAGGAGGCATGTCATATCTACCAGTAATGTCAAGCATAACTGCCTTACTGGCAGCTGTCAAGATCGGCTCTGTTCTCCCTTGAGTTTCATTGCTTTTTCATATTTGTAGGTGTTCTAGTGTCTTTGGCTTGCAGTTCTGTAGGACACAAACAAAACTTATTTGCAAATTGAAAAAAAAAAAAAGTGGGCCAAAAGGAAAGGAAGGGGGCTCCAAAAGGCTGTAAAATTGTGCAGCGTGAGCCCTGTGATACATGCTGTTTTCAATCTGCTGTGTGCCAGTTGGAGGCTCAGAGAGAGAGCGAGAGAAAGAGAAGGGATAATGCTGAGAAATGATAGAGTGGCTGTGACCTCCAAGCTCAGCCTGGAAATCCAAGACATTGATTTCACTTAGCATTCCAAAAAAAGTTCAGTTGTAATAAAAGAACAAGATTCTGTTCTAATGGTAATGGCGTATGACAGACATATCACTTTGTCTGTCCTCAGCACCAGAGAGAGGAGAATTGGAGAAAGGTCACCTGACCTGCCTGTGCTGTTGTGCGAATGCTATACTGAGCTTTGAACCCCAGCCTGGAAGCACAATTATTTATAATACTAAATGATAAAGAAACCTTTATAGAGCTTACAGTAATTAGAAATAAAGCTTATACAATAGTGCAGTGGCCTGGCTCAGAAAACACGCTGGCGAATCTGTCACAGTGGCAGGAACTGAAGCTTATGTGTTGAAACTAAACACCTTCATTTGTGTCTGTGTGGACCTTCCTTTTTCAAAGCTTGTTTGTGTTGAACAGCTCCAAATGTTTATTGTGCTTGCTAATTTTTTTAATTATTTATTTTTTTTTAGCTGTTGTCAGGGAATGTCTGTCTGAGTTTCACAGCCATTTTATAATATGGTTTTTTTAATCTCCTTCAGCAGCTTGGTTCATGAAGTTAGTTCACGGTAGTCTTTCTCACTGTTACTGTACATCAAACCTCCACAGATGAACAGTTAATGCCTTTAGACAAGCTTTCAATAGATGCTGTTTGCTGAATCTCTATTTTCAGCCCACAGTTTACACTGGCACAGCTTTGGTAAAATGCTCAAGTGTTTGGAGACAAGGAGACAGCCTTACCTGAGAGTGTGTCAAGCTACTGGCAAACATCTAGGTCACTTTTGAAAAGCTGTGGTTTTTTCCCTCTTGTATAGTGTTAAAGTTAGTGTGCTGCTCTTTGCAAGGATTCTTCAAAGTCGGCCTCAGCAGCAGATGGAACAACTGTTGGCTCTAGGAATGCTGAGAAGCATCAGGGGGAGTTTGCCAAGGATCATACTTTAAATCTAGTAAGACTTGAACACATCCCTGGAACTCCTCTAAGACCTTGGCAACTCCTGTTTTGGCAAACCTTTAATCAGTGGCCCTCACCGGTGTTTGAACACTGTGCTGGGCAGAGTAAGCTGGCATCTTCTGTTGTCTCACTCTCTTTTCAACAGATGTGACCTGGAATAGTCAAATTCACTTCCTAGGTTTCTGTGCTGTAACTCTTAGGAAGCCATGAAGTAGAGATGCCATTATGCTGTGCTGCACACATTCTGTCAAGTTTTGGTTAGGAAAGTGAGCTGGTGTCGTACATTCTTCCAAGAAGAAGTCTGTGCCAGGAAAAATGATTTAAGAAACAGAGCTAGTGGAGCCTGTCCAAAAGAAAATGCGTGTGTCTTGCGGAAATGGATTTTAACACAGCTTCTTCTTGAGCAGTTTTAAAAACAGCCGGTATGCTAATCACACCATTCAAATTTACCAAGGCCTCCTCCACAACCCATTTGAAAGGCAACTATCTTTGAAGTTTGCCAAACTGTGCTGGATTTCCAAAGTCTGTCTTAAGCAGATTTTGCCTTTGATCCTGTAAATGCTTGCATGCCGCTCTGTTGGGTGTTCAAGGTGGTTACACACTCCTGACTAAGTAGGAGAGGACAGGCACAGGTGAAGATAAGGACTAGGCAGAATAACCCAGCAGTCCAGCTTGCGATTTACTTCAAGTCTCTTGCTTGTACAGACCCATGTAGGAGATATAAAAAAAAAAAAGCAATGTTATAGAGAATATGTTTATCTGAACAGTGACCTTTACCATGCTACCAGGATTCTCAGCTGATAGCTACAGTCTTCACTGACTTCAAATGAGCAACATCACCCTCACTTGTAAACAGGCAGGGTCCTGTTCATTCCTGCCTTTGTTCCTTGCTTTTTATGTTGCATGTATAAATATAGCATCTAGTGCCTGCATGATGCAATATCCTAGCCCTTTCCATGTAACCTTTCAAGTACAGTAATTCTGGAGTGAATTTTCAATGTAGCTTGTAAATGTAGCTAAATGTTTCCCCGTATTTAATGGAGCACAATGTGTTGTCTGTAGCATCTGCTGAAAAACAGGAGTAATTCAGTGTGAAATGTGACAGGAGAGAATTCCTGGGCACTTTGCTTTTAACCTTGTTATGACCTCAGCCCTAACCCTACTCACAGTTGTGTCTCCATCAATGGCAACAGCACACAGATTGTCCAAATCAATTTTTTTGTTCTTTTCAAATACTTTTGGCAGTGATCTTACTATTTGCTCAGCAGTAGCACCTGGGAGTTGTGACAGGGAAAGGAAATGTGTTTCAGACAAGCCAACAACAGCACTAAGCAGTTGGATATACACAATCAGATTCTTCTCAACTGCGATATCCAGAAAAATATCAATGTGAATCCTTAACCGAAGATGGTACTTTATTTTCACATCATCAGATTCTCTGGTCACCAAAGTAAACACTGTATTGAAAATCTTTCGTGTCACCTGTAGTCAGCAATAGAATCGCCTTTGAAAGACTTAGACCTTGCCTCTCTACCAGAGCTCAGATTGACCTTGTAATGGCCAGAGACTCTCCAGGGAAACTTCTTCAATTTTTGAGGAATATCTGCTGATGATGCTACAGTTGCTGCTACATGCACCAGCTGTCTCTTTCATTGTGTTTGCAGTATGCGAAGGATAGAAAGGGACCAGCAGCGAGCTTGCTCCATTCTCATCCAGGCAAGGTAAACCTGGATACAGAGCTACAACCGCATCACTGTTGATGTTCTTACCAAGTGCATCTGACACTAGGGAGAAGAAAATAAAGAATGAGAGTCTTTGGAAATGGGCATTTTAATTCAGACACACCACAGGCTATGTTATTAGGAAAAATAAGTAAACTATTTACTATGGGGAGCTAGTTGGGGATTTTCCTGTCCCAGTCAAAACTGATGATGGGACTGTACTTTCCAGTTTCAGTAAGAAAGCTTTCTTGACTCAGAATAAAACTGTGCTGAAAAAAAAAAAAAAAGAAAAAAAAAAGGCATCTGAAGGGAAGGAGAAAGAAAAAGGCTCTAAAATGGCCTGGTAATAAGAACACTCATCTAGGTGATAATTCTGATTCTACTTCAGGCAAATTGTTGACTTGAACTTCATTTTAGGTGACTACCCTAAGCAGTCCTGTTAACTTGGGTGTATTTGTCTCCCATTCCCTCATTTCTCTCTTTTGTATGGTAGCACAAAATGTGAAAATTTATCCTGGGGAGATCTTGGGGAAAACATTAAG